GGGGGCCCGTGCCCGGGCCATGGGCTCTCCCCACCGCCCCGCATGGACTTGCCCAATAAATTCCACTTAGTAATTTCACTGAGGCGAGGGAGAGTTGCTAGTGTCTGTTTTTTGACCTAAATCTAGCGGATGGCCAGAGCGGGCTCCAGGGCGTAAGGGAAAGAAGACCTGTGGGCTCAGGCAATGGCCCAGAGGAGGGAGACGCACACGGGACGGGGCGAGCAGCGCGGTCTTAGTTCCCGCAGGGCTTGCTCGGAGCTTTCTGCGCTCTTTGGGCTGCACTGTGAGCCTCGTTCAGGACCGAAGCTGAGATCGTGGGACCCGTTCCCTTAAATCAGTCAATTTAGGGCAGAGCCATTGGGGGGCCTGTAGAGCATCGGAGGCTCTACAGGGCCTGAGAAGGGGTTGGATGGCGGGTTTCTGTCCCGTGGCCACTAAAGACAGAAGGAGACTGGCAGGATATTACACTGAGAAAAGCTGCTCTGCCGGACCATGGGGCCAGGTGCAGCTCTTGTGGTTCCTAGGAAAGCCAAGAACAGGCGGCAGGGTTCGAAAAGCTTACCCCAGGATTTGCAGACATCCTTCCTGCTTTTCCACAGTGCTGGGTTATTTTACTATGATTATATAATCATTCATACCTAGCAAAAACATTTTGCATTTGGACTACCTCTTTCTTGGGTTAGGATCTTACTTTGCAGATCCTTACTGGAAAGAGATCCGGGTCTTTCATCTCAATTCGTGTTCCTCCTGGCAAAAAACTCCCACCCTACCTCTTACATGAAGGCCACCGAGATTACCCCTGTATGCACCCCCCCTCTTCATTTTTCAGCCTTTCGGTAGCAACTATACAGTTTTACACTATTTATTTATAAAACATGCTCTTTTATAGAAGTCCCGCTGGCAGAGCACTCGGGAGGCCCAGCATGAACTACATAGGGAAACACTGTCTCAAAAAAACAAAACAAAACAAAAAAAAGGCCGTGGGTATAGCTCAGTGGCATAAGCGCCTGCCTGGCAAGCGCAAGGTCCTGAGTTCGATTCCCGGTACCAAAAAAAAAAAAAAAAGGAAAGAATAAATAGCTGGGTGTGGTGATGCATGTCTATAATCTTAGCACCCGAGAGGCTGAGGCAGGAACCTCTTGGGGAGTTCAAGGTCAGCCTTAACTAAATAGCTAGACCCTGTCTAAAACAAAATATTTAAAAGTCCTAATGTCAGTGAGAGGGGGAGTAATGTCAAAAAGTCATTTTTGCTATGTATGTGTTCTGTCTTCTTAATTGGATTTGAAGACCTGGAGTTCTTTTTCTTTTTTTAGTATCCCCAAGTGCCCTGCATTTGCTCGTCTAACAAAGTTGCTTGTGGACAAACTGACCACCTTATTGACCAAGACAGGGAGAAAACAGAGGGGCCAAACAAGGCCCTTCCTTGGCATCTGGATGAAGCCCCTAGCCAGCGCTCTGGACGCTAGGTAAACCCATTGCTGGCCAAAAGCTGCCCGGTGCGGCTCCATTTCGTCTCCTCATCCACTCAGCCCCAACACAAACTCGGATAACAATCACACCCTACAAATCATCGCTGCACTTTTGCACTTTGCTCAAAGGTTGTGGGTTGCGCCTATTTTTCCGGATAGAAGGCGGGATCTGTGGTTGAGACCCTAAATCCTTATAGCGTTTGCACGTGAAATATAACCTCTTAGTGTTTGTCTGGGTGGGGAAAAAGTGTTTTTGTGGAAACCAACTAGTGAAGAAGGAGCCGCTCTAGACTTTTCAATTGTGTGTTGCAAATTTGGCCCACTATCCACCCTTCCCCTAGGCTCGATCAGGAGCCCTTGTGCAGGCGCGTCAGTCTCTGGGCTGCAGGCTCCAGATCCGGGAGGTGCGGATCCGTCCTCCATCTATTGGATGGCTCCCAGGCCAATTGTTAGAAAGAGGCATATGTTCATCTCGGCTTCTGGAGTGTCTCCGGAGCAGTTGCTCAACAGCCAGCCCCCTCCCCCATCCGGACCATTGAAGGGCATAAAAGGAGCGCCCTCCGTGCCCACAGGCCAGAAAGGGCCTCCCCACTGGTGACTTTCTGTCATCTCCATTGCCACCTCCTGTGGTGCAGGAAAGAGAGGGGCGTTAAGGGCTCAGGGTAAAGCACAAAAGCCACCCCTTTTCTTTTGGGGGATATGGGAGAGGAGGTTAGTTGCAGAGGCTGGAGAGGGAGCAAAGGAGACATTTGCGTTTCTCAGCAAATATGCCCTGGATCACTGACTTCGCAGTGGCTCCAGCAGAGCTCAGAGCTCTCCAGCTGAACTCTTATCTCCAACTTGGCAACTAGACTCGGGGCTCGCGAAGCACGGAGAGAGCAGGGCTGGTCACCCAGCAGGAACCTTCTGTGCGCCAGCAATCGGCCCGGTGTGTTCCCATTCATCATCTCATTTAATTCCTAGGACAGCCCTGTGAGGTCGGGTTACCAAAGGTGAGACAATCTGTGAGAAGTGCCAGAGTTCACGCAGCCAGGAGGCCAGGGGCTGAATCCAGATCAGGCTGGCTGTAAAGTCTTTATCCTATAACCCTACACCCCGCTGCTTGGGAGGATAAGGAGAGTTCAGGCTCAGGGGTCAGTGGCCTGGGCTTAAATCCTACTCTGCCATTTGTTGACTGTGTGGTCTTGGCCAAGTGGCTCCATTTTGGGGGCCTCATCTATTAATGATAAGTGACTCCATTTTGGGGGCCTCATCTATTATTTGGGAATCCTGATGGTACCTACTCTGTGAGGTTGTTGTAAGCATCAGAGCTCAGCTTCCTTGGTGTGGACAGTGTACTAAATGGCGAATAAATGCTGCTATTTTATTGTGCTTTCTAATTCTTTACCTTTGGCCCCTATCCCTGCCTCAGCTCACACATTTCAGGTTCAGTACTTGCTGATTGAGAAATTTAAAAATCAGACTGAGGGGATGAAGCAGATCTAATAAGCTCAGGAAGAGAAAGAAGAGGAAATGCAGATACGTTTTCAAAATCCCACGCTAGAGAACCAAGGGCTGCCTGAGCCATATGACAGGAATAAATTTGGGACCAATAAAAGATGATCACGTTTTACAGGTCAGACTATAAGCTTTAGGAGTGGTCGCCAGAAATGTGGACTCAGTATGTGTACAGAAAAGTTAAAAAGTACTAGCTTTTATGCAAGAATGTTTAGAGCAGATTTATTTATAATAGTGAAAAACAGAAAGCAATCTAAAGGTCCACGGCAAGGGAGTGTCCTTTGTACATTGGGGGGAAAAAACACTCCTGATATAAAAACCTTTATTCATGGGAAAATGTTCACAGCAAAATATTAATTTAAAATATTAGATACAAAGTTGCATAAATGTGATGCCAAATTGCAGAGAGCACAAAAGGTATAAAATTAAATATTCAGTATATATCTAATCATGTATGAATACGCATATAAAGTGATGGTCAGAAAAATACCAAAAAAAATAACAGTGTCACTAGGTGGTAAGGATTAGGAGTGATTTTTTTCCCTTTTCTGCATCTTATGCAATATGATTATAGTATTCTTATAAGTAAATGTATGAGTTAAGTTTTCTGTGATTAATAGGATTCTAAACAGTATGTTCCTGCTTTTGTTAAAATTATAAGTCCATAGGAAAAAATATTAGAAACAAATATACCAAAATGTGAACAGTAATTATGATTTAGTGGGATTTTAGGTGGTATTTTTCTTTTTCCTTTTTTCAAATTTTCTGCAATGTGATTATCTTGGTTCCTTACATTTAGAACAGATTCCTAACTTGAAAAATGCATAATCAGTAGTATCTCCTTCATGGTAATAGTATGACTGCAAATTGAAAAAAATGGAATGGAAGTGTACTGAAATAAGTTTTTTATATTAGGCAGTAAGAGATTAGGGGCAATTTCCTTTATTTTTGTAATATGGTTTTATTATTTTTATAATTAAAATAAAACGATACCTAAAAATAGCATATCCAAGATGATCCTCCTTTTATTTAGTTATTTTTATTATTATTATTTTTTAATCCTGTTTTCAGCAAACATAAATATGTACATAGAAAAAGTAATAGACTAAAATGTGGTTGTCTCTGGGTGATGGTGATATAGGTGGTTTTTGAAATAGTTCCCTTTTTTTCTTTCTTTCTTTCTTTTTTTTTTTTGAGACAGTGTCTCCCTATGTAGTTCAGGTTAGGTTTTTTTTCTTTTTCTTTTAGAGACAGGGTTTCGTGATACAGTTCCGGCTGGCCGTGAGATCACTTTGTAGTCCAGGCTGGCTCCTGCCTCAGCCTTGCGAGTGCTGGGATTACAGACGTGAGCCACCAAGCCCAGCAGTTCAGGTTAGTTTTGAACTCATGATGTATTCCAAGCTGGCCTTGAACTTGAGGCAGTCCTCCTGCCTCAGCCTCCCAAATGCTGGGATTACAGGTGTGTGCCACCACACCCAGCCTTAGAGGTGGTTTTTGTTTGTCCTTTATACATGGTTTCTTCATTTTCCAATTTTTCTACAGTCATCATGTATTGTTTTTTAATTATGAAAAAAATAAAGTAGCTCAATATTGGAGTATTTATGGAGAAGGGGGCATGTCTGATTTTGCTTTAAAATATTCCTGGGGTGGTGGTGGGAGGGAAGTGTATGGGCATAGAGAATCAATAACGTGATGATTGTTGAAGATGGGTGCATAAGGCAGTTATAATGTTTTTCTATTTTTGTTTATGTTTTAAAATTTCCATAAAATATATTTCTAAAAAGTATTTGCATACCTTTTATCACTTTTAATTTTATGCTACTTGTGGGATCAATTATCTCCTCTTTATAGAAAACTGAGATTTTAAGAGGTGAATTTTAAGAGGTGAATTTTAGGATGTGAATTTTAAGAGGTGAGACAGTGGGCTTGATCCGGGTGTCCTCACTCTAAGCGGAGGGCTCTTCAGCATACCCAGTTGCTGCTGCTGTTTCTTCTTTCTTTCTTTTTAATTTTTTGTTTCTTTTTCCCTATGCTAGGGATGTGTCGTCGTCATTCTCATCACTGGGTCACAATACCTGGCACCACAACTTAAGGTGAGATTTATTTTGGCTCATGGTCTAGTAATTCCAGTCTATGTTCAGCAGGCTTAATCCCAGAAATGACATGGCAGAAGGGCTCAAGGGGAGGAGAGCTGCTCACCTCATGGGGCCCAGGAAGCAGAGAGAGCAAAGGGAGGAGCTGGGGAGGGAGATAAACCCTGGCCAGACCTCCCCTCCTAACAGCAAGTCAGCCCTAAGCCCCCAGAATCTAGTCTCTTAAAGCACGAGGCTCTGGGGTACATCTAGATGATAAACCCTAACAGATGTAACCCAGGGCCTTGCACATGCTAGACAAGTGCTCTGCCACTCAACTTCATTCCAGCCAGAGTTTTTCTTCTCCTCCCCCTCCCCC